TGGGCTCCAGCCCCTGGAGGAGCCACCTCCACCCACCTGAGATTTCCCGAATTCCAGCTGCAGCTCCGGTTGCTTCTGCGGGCAAAGGAGGCCTTGTGGTCAGAGGGGCCTCTGGAGCCCTGGCCAGGCGCTCCCTCCCTCTCCGGGCACACACACCTCCATTCAGCCCCAGCCCCGCCCCGGGCTGCCCCCACGTCAGTGGGGGGCCGCCTGGCCAGGAGGCTGGGCGGGCATCGGGGTTGATAAGACCTGGACCCCCGGCCCCCACAACTGTGCCTGCTGCTGCCTGTGCTGCCAGAGCCATGAGGGTCCCCTCTGGCACCGGCCTTGTGCTGGGCAGCCTGCTGCTGCCGCTGCTGCTGCTCCAGGCCCCTCGAATTCTTGGCTTCACCCCACAGTCCAGAGGTGAGGGGGCCTGCGCTAGTTGGGGGACACTGGGCGGGTGGGTCCTGACCATCAGCCTGGGGTCTGGGCACTGAGTTGGGGCCGGGATGGGGTCCGGGACGGGGATAGCTGCAGGGAGGCAGGGGTGGCCAGCAGGGTGCAGCAGCACTCAGAAGTGGTGATGCTGATAAAGGTTGGGGCAGGGGTCCTCAGTCCTTGGGGACCACACATGCTGCAGGGACCACAGTCTTCCAGGTCTCTGGGAGGCAAGAGCCACTCAGAGCCGGCTGACGTCTGGAGCTGCTCCAGGCCCAGCGCTGAGCTCACAGCACTTCGGTGAGTGCAGCTCTGGGAGGCCAAGAACCCATCCCCCCTTGCCAGTCCTGCTAGCATGGGGCCCCCGAGCGGCAACGCCACCCGCAGGGTTTCAAGTTTGGGCACTGAGTCCTGGAATGCCCACTCTTCCTGTACAGATGGGGAAACTGAGGCTAGAGAGGGGAGGGCCTAAGATCACACAGCGAGATAGCCCCTGAGCCTCCTGGCTCCTGATCTAACACTCCATGAGTAGCCAATCCCCTCTCCCTCTCTGGACCTCAGTTTACCCATTTGTAGCTTTAGCTACTAGGGACCAGGGAGCCAGCGGCAAGGCGGTTTCTAAGGTCTCTTGAGGAACTCTGATGCCCGGAGTCCCAGTCCAGGGCACCGTGAGTGGGGCTGGGACAGCCCTGCGCATCTTCCCTTTCCCGACTCTCCTGTATCCTCACCTGGGATCAGCTCTGCTCGGTTCATACACGCATGGACAGGGAGGGAAGGGCCTTTGTACTGAGCCCTGCCTGGCTGCAGGTTCAGTGACAGTGTCATGCAGTGGCCTTGTCCTCCCCACTGAATAGAAGAGAAAACTGAGGCTCAGAAAGGCGCGATGACCTGCCCAGAGCCACGGGTGGCTGAGCCGGGATTTGAACCCAGGCCCGTCTCACTCCAACTCCGTGCACTTCCCAGCACATGGTGCTGCCTCTCTGGGTGTCTGGAGGGACACTGCTCCTTGGGGGTGTGTCTTGGGGCCCACCTGGTCAGGCTGCCGAGGTGGTCACCAGGAATTCCTGCTCCTTTTCCCCGTCCTCGGCAATTAGCCAGCGGGCCCTGCCGGGCTGAGGGAAACTGGTTCCACTCTGGTGACTTGCTCCGATGCTCAGATGTAAGAGGCCATGTCGATGGGCACTGCTTTGGCTCAAGACTGTGCCCACGTCTGGGGGGCCACTGTCAGTGTCCTCCTGCCCAGCTAGGAGACATAGCTGCCCTTGTTTCTGGCAGCAAGTCTGGGCTGCAGCCTGAGAAGTGTGTTTTCAAGGGCATAGTGTCCTTTGCCGCCCCAAACCCCCTCCGTGTGTGCCCAACTCTGTGGGCTGCCTTGCTCCTCCCTGAAGCACCCTCCAGGGAAGGATGGCTCGCTCATTGCACAGATGAGGAAACCGAGGCACAGAGAGGTGAATGTGGGGTGCCCAAGGCCAGGATTTGGCCCTCTGCCTTCCCCACGGGCTGCACTGGGGGGCCTTTGGCAAGGAGTTTGCTGAGTGGGCACACACTGGCGAAACAGCCCGGCCAGCACAGCTGAAGTCTGTGGTCTGCTCTGTCTGCGGCCTCATGTGCAGATCTCAGTGGCCCTGATTCGCCGCTCCTTTGCCTCTGAGCGTGTCCAGGGATCCTCCTCACCTTGGCCCTGCTCTCTGGCTTCTCCCTCCTGCCCCCTCCCAGAGCACCTGTGCCGGACCCGGCCCACGGACCTGGTGTTCGTTGTGGACAGCTCCCGCAGCGTGCGGCCTGTAGAATTTGAGAAGGTGAAGGTGTTCCTGTCCCAGGTCATCGAGTCGTTGGATGTGGGGCCCAATGCCACCCGGGTGGGCGTGGTCAACTACGCCAGCGCCGTGAAGCAGGAGTTCCCGCTGCGGGCCTACGGTTCCAAGGCCGCGCTGCTGCAGGCTGTGCGCCGCATCCAGCCGCTGTCCACGGGCACCATGACTGGTCTGGCCATCCAGTTCGCCATCACCAAGGCCCTCAGCGATGCGGAGGGCGGTCGCGCCAGATCCCCCCACATCAGCAAGGTATGTGCACCGCGCCGTGGGAAGTCTGGAAGCTGGGTGGCAGGGGACCAGCAGGGACTAAAGGGGACAGTGGGCCTCAGAGAATGTGGCAGCATGTGGCAGTGAACAGTCACGCTAGGTTTTCAGTGCCAGGCGCCCAGGCCCCTGGGGGGAAGAGATCACGCAAGATCACCCCCCGGGAGTCCAGGGTAATGACGCTGAAAATAACAGTTGCCCCTTCCTGGCTTCTCACCGAGAGTGATCTCCACTCTCGCTCCACCTCACCCCAGCACCTTCTTACAGACGAGGACAGTGCGGCTCAGCAAGGTGAGCTATAACTTGTGCAGCGGCACTGACGACCCAGGCCCGTCTTAACTGGGGCCGCCAAGAGAGCGGGCCAGGCCCTGGGGCTAAGGACAGGGACCCAGATCAGAAGCAGAGAAGCAGCACAGGGGGCTGGGTGCCTAGCCCGGACTGGACGGAGCCGGGAGGACCCTGACCCTGGCCTCAGGGCAGGTGGAGGCAGTGGGTGGTGACGCGGGAGCTCAGCGCCAGGGTCCCTCTCTCCCTCTTTCTGGGGTACAGACCAGAGGAGCGGCGTGGGAGGGGAGCAGGCACGTTCTTTCCCTGGCAGGGGCATGGATCATGCTGGAGAGTGGAGGAAGAGAAGGGCGGCATATGCCTCGGCTGGTCCCTTGGGCCATGCGGGAGGGGTTTCTGTCCAGGGCGCGGAGGAGGACGGACGCCTACAGGGGGCAGGGCTCGTTTGTGAGCCTCGGCCGCCCCCTGGTGGCGAAGGTGCAGACCTGCAGGGCGCCGGGCCGGAGAGGGCGTTTGCGGGGGCCAGGCAGCCCGCGCACCTGCCCAGGCCGAGCCCCAGCTCCCCGGCCCGGCTCCCACAGCCCGCAGCCTGGGGGCGCGCCCTCCCCCCTGCCATCGCAGGGCTGCCTGGCTGAGCGAGTCGGATGGCAGCACCTCAGCCCCGTCTCTTTCCGTCGGAGGAAACGGGTCGCCCGTGGCCGGCCAGGTCCTCCTCCCGGGGCCGGGCCCTGGCAGGGGAGGGTCTGCCCGCACCCGGCCAGCGGAGGGACCGGCCCGTCCCTCTGCCTCTCCGCGCCTCAGTCTCCGCTCCCGCCGGTCCCGCGGGGCTTCCCGGAGGGCGCAGGCGGGAGGTCCCACGCGTGTCGCGTCGCGTCGCAGGTGGTCATCGTGGTGACGGACGGGAGGCCCCAGGACAGCGTGCGGGACGTGTCCGCGCGGGCCCGGGACAGCGGCGTCGAGCTGTTCGCCATCGGCGTGGGCCGCGTGGACAAGGCCACGCTGCGGCAGATCGCCAGCGAGCCGCAGGACGAGCACGTGGACTACGTGGAGAGCTACAGCGTCATCGAGAAGCTGTCCAGGAAGTTCCAGGAGGCCCTGTGCGGTGCGGCGCGGCGGGGCCGGGGCGAGCGCGACACTGAAAGTCCGTCGGGGCGGGGCCACGTCAGAAGGCGGGGCCTGGCCGAGGCGGTGGCCTATAAGGGGCGGGGCCTGAGCAGGAGCCAACATCAGGGGCGGGGCCGCGCTGGGGCAGCGCCCACGTGGGTTGGGATGGAACCTAGATCAGACTGAGGTGGGGCCAGCACCAGGGGCGGGGCCGTAGCTGGGGCGGAGCCTGATTCTGAGGCGGGTCCCCAGTCCTGGGTTAAGGAAACTGGGGAGAGGTGATGTCCTTTTATGTGGCAGAGTCCTAGCAGAGACCAAGGAAGGGCCAGAACCCAGTGAGGGGCGCGCCTGCAAAACCTATGCGTGTTTCTCTGTCTGGGGCTTTGGGTGCCAGAATTTTCTGTGATGCAGGAGGGTCTGAGGGGTCTGGGCACTGCCAGGAGAGGGTTCATAGTCCTGTGCAGAGGGGAGGTGGGCCTGTGAGGGGGTCTTTGGCATGTGACCGGCTGAGAGTCTGGGGCCTGGAGTCTACCCCGTTTGGGCCCTCAGTTTCCCGAGGGTGCGAGGGGGCCTGGGCTCCATGGTCAGTGAAGGCATCCTGGCTGAGATGTCCAAGGCCCTGTGATTGTGAGAGCTGCGCCTTCCCTTGTCCCTGCAGTGGTGTCAGACCTGTGTGCCACAGGAGACCACGACTGTGAGCAGGTGTGCATCAGCTCCCCGGGTTCCTACACCTGTGCCTGCCGTGAGGGCTTCACCCTCAACAGTGATGGGAAGACCTGCAATGGTCAGTGGGCTGGACATAGGCAAGCCCTGGGAGGGTGGTGGGAGGTGATGGGGCTTGGCTGTTCCCCAGGAAGCCCACCGGATCCTTTCTGCACTTTCTTTCTGACGGGTCCTCAAAGTAGATAGTTGCCTTTTAGAGTTTATGTCTGTGGAAAGTTCGCTCCCGACTTCTGTCCCTCTTTTTAATACAATGGGTGCTGGGTTTAGTGTGGTTTAGCCTCAGACTCAAATGCTGGTGCCACCCCTTCTGAGGTGTGTGATTTAACAGCATTTCCAATGCTGTAGAATGTGGCCAGTAACCTTGGCTTATAGAGGCAGTTCCCAGGGCAAAACGGAATGATCCCAGCACAGAGCTTGGTGTGCGGTGGGTGCCCAGCCAGTGGTCAGGATGGATGACTATGTCCTTAAGCCTCAACCCCCCGCCTTCCTGCCCTTCCCAGTCTGCAGTGGCGGTGGTGGCAGCTCGGCCACTGACCTGGTCTTCCTCATTGATGGATCCAAGAGTGTGCGGCCGGAGAACTTTGAGCTGGTGAAGAAGTTCATCAACCAGATTGTGGACACTCTGGACGTGTCAGACAAGCTGGCCCAGGTGGGGCTGGTGCAGTACTCGAGCTCTGTGCGCCAGGAGTTCCCGCTGGGCCGCTTCCACACCAAGAAGGACATCAAGGCGGCTGTGCGGAATATGTCCTACATGGAGAAGGGCACCATGACCGGGGCTGCCCTCAAGTACCTCATCGACAATTCCTTCACTGTGTCCAGCGGGGCCAGGCCTGGTGCCCAGAAGGTGGGCATTGTTTTCACTGATGGCCGGAGCCAGGACTACATTAATGATGCTGCCAAGAAGGCCAAGGACCTCGGTAGGTGCTGCCTGCCTCGACCCTGGGCACCACTGATGGCCAGGGGTAAACACAGGTACAGCCCCACTGTAGTTTACCTTGGTGGCTCTGATTAGTATCCTAAACCCAGGTGAATTTGATTGGAGAGGATTGGTTAGTCCAACTGAAGCCCCAGAAAAGTAAGTGGCTTGTTTTTATGGTCCTTTTGTGGATGAGGCTGGGAACTTTTCCAGTTGAATGTTCCCAAGAACACACCAAATATTGGAGAGCAAACCCCACTTTGGGACAATCCTGAGCCTCAGTTTTGTCACTTATTAAAAAAGGAGAATAATAGCCACCAGATGGATGATTATGAGGGTTCAATGAAGCTCTCAGAACAAAGATTCCAGTACAGGAAGTAGCTGCAGGGTCTGACACGTGGAACTTCAGTAAATTTCCACATTGTCATTGTTTCAGGCATTGTGCTTGCAATTCCAGCAGTTGCCACCAGGAGGTGTCTGGTGTTGGCTGTCTAGGCATTCCCCAGGAGGCCCCGCCATATGGCTGCCTGTCCCCACGGCCAGCCTTACTTGTCCCGCTCCTCCTGGCAGGCTTTAAGATGTTTGCTGTGGGCGTGGGCAACGCTGTGGAGGACGAGCTGAGGGAAATCGCCTCGGAACCCGTGGCAGAGCACTACTTCTACACTGCTGACTTCAAGACCATCAACCAGATAGGCAAGAAGTTGCAGGAGAAGATCTGTGTGGGTGAGTGAGGCCAGGGCTGGCATCCTGGAAGGGGGTGTGGGTGGGGAGAAGCAGTTGGCAGAACCGGGAGGTGGGCTGGCCAGCTCAGCGCTTACTGCCGGCAAACATATTGAATGCTCTGTTATGTGGATGACGCTGTTCTCAGTGCTCAAGCATTAAACCATTCAATCCCATTTGGTAGGAATGCCATTATCCCCATTTTACAGACAGGAAAGCCAAGGCCAGGAGGGTGGAACAACTGTTAATAACTGAGGGAGCCAGGACTTGAATGCTGCTGCCTCCCCCAGTCCTCCCTGGTGGCCTCGCCAGTTGGTTCCTCATGGTAAAGACGTGGGCGCCAGTGCCAGACGTACCTGGCTTTGCAACTTGGCTCTGACACCGTGGCCATGGACAAGTTGTTTCACTTCTTGGATTCTTCATTTGTAAAATGAGATGAATGACTTCCAACCCAAAGAGTTGGGGTGAGGAGTCACCAAGATGACAGAAGGCCCCTAACGGTGTCCTGCACATGGTGAGCACCCGGCACAGGGATGCTGCTATTGTAGTTCATTATCAGGGCTCTGAGGGACCAGGAAGACGTTCAGGAGTCTCCGCTCCACCACTCGTAGGGGCTCTGTCTCAGGAGCTCTGTCTCTCTGCCTTCTCAGACCCGAGGCCCCCCACTCTCCCAGGACTCCCCAGTCCTGGCCCTGGGCAGTGACTGTTCCCCTTCCCCTGCGCAACCACTCAACAGCCCCTCCCTCTTCCCCGCCTTCTTGTCCACTGCAGAGGAAGACCCGTGCGCCTGTGAGTCCGTGGTGAAATTCCAGGCCGAAGTGGAGGGGCTGCTGCAGGCCCTGACCAGGAAACATATCCTTCCCCAGAGGCGGCTGCGGGCCGGGGAGGGCTGGCAGTGTGGGGAGGAGGGGGCATAGCCCACGTGTGGGTGGGTCGGGGCAGGTCCTCCTCCCTGCCTCCTGCTGAAGAAGGGCTGCATTTTGCCCAGATAGGCTGGTGCCAGCTTTGGTACAGACCTTGTCAAAGCAGAGGCTCCTAGAGGGTAAACAGGGAGACCGAGGCAGAAGCAAGGATCTGGGGACTGGACACACACAGTCTGGACATGCTCAGGAGAACATGGTGTCCTGTGGATTCCCCATTCCCCAGGTTCTCGGTGACGTGGCTGACACAGCCCCCCTTCAGAGGTGGGGCTGGGCTCCAGACAGCTCCCCTGGCTCAGTCAGGATGATGTGTGGGACCCAGCAGGGTGAGCAGGGCTGGGCGCACGGGGCTCACAGTAACCGGCTGTGCTTTTTGGAAAGCACCGTCCTGAGGACAGTGGATGGATGAGTTTTGGCAGAGTGGGGGAACACATAGCATGGGGAACACATGCTATAGGGGGCGAGAGGAAACCCTAGAATAGGAGCCCTCTGGTGGCAACAGGAAGGGGAGTCCCAGAGTGGGGGCCTCACCTGTCACTGCTCTGCTCTGGCCAGCCTGCACCTCTCCTTAACTCCGAGTCCACTGGAAGCTGTGAGTAAGCGGCTGGCCATCCTGGAGAACAGGATCGTCTAAGGCCACTTGTCCCTCCCGCGGCCTCTCCGTCTCCCCATCCCAAGTGCAGAGTCCTGCGTGTGCCCCCAAGAGCCCCGAGTTTAGTCTAGCTTTGCCATTTTCGTGAGGGAGGACAGCCTGGGAGCGGGAGGGAGTGTGTTTGAGTGTGCCTGTTGGTAGTGTGTGCTGGCGTTTGGGAGCACATGTGTGTGCACATGCACGTGTGAGCGTGCGCATGTATGTATGTGTGTGTGCATGTGCGTGCATGTGTACACGCGCCCGAGGGCAGGCGTGAGCGCGGTAGCCGGGTGCGAGAGTCAGAACGTAGGTGTGAGTGTGAGAGGGACTGCGTTTGCATGTTTTCCCGTCAAAAGCTTAATATATTCCTATTTTTTTTTAGTTAACCCTTTCTTGACGCCAAGTGCTGTGAATCTCTTTTCTGATTTCTCTATTCCCTGATGAGAAACAATTAAATGTGATTAACTTAAAAACTGAATGGGGCTAGAGGCAGTGTGGTTATTTGGGGAGCAGGAGAAAGGGTTGATAAGGGTGGCAGGTGGGGCAATGGCTGGGATGGCAACCGTGGTGGTGACGGTGATGACAGTGGCCACACCAAAACCAGCTCACCTTTGTCCTGCCTTTTCAGTTGCAAATCCATTCCCAATTACCAAACCCAGAAAAGCTTTGAGCCAACCCCCCTTACAGAGGGGACAGCTGAGCATCTGAACGATGAAATGACTGCTCAGCAGAGGGTCAGTGGGACACACAGACCTGGGTCTGGGACTGCAGGACATTAAAAAAAAAGTCCACTGGAAGCTGTGAGTAAGCTGCTGGCCATCCTGGGGAACAGGACCGACTAAGGCCACCTGTCCATCCTGTTGGCGAAAAGGGGCAATGGCACCAGATCAGACTCATTTGTTCATTCATTCATTCAAACATCAAATCCTTACAGAGTGTTCCTCAATGTCAGGCAGTGGGGAGGTGGTGGCGTATGAGACAGACATGGTTCCTGCCCTTAAGGGACTTACAGGTGAGCAGGGTGCTCATGTCACCGTCACCCAGCCAGAGGAAGAGAGTGGGTTTAGGTTGTACTGGGGGTTTGTGCCTCCTCTCGATATCTGGGAGCCCACGGCGGGAGTGTACGTGAGTGTGTGTGAGAGCTGATGGGAAGGCTTCCAGCCGGAGCCTGGGCTGGCCTCGGTGCCCCTGCACGCGCCCCACCCTTGTCCTCTTTGTTGTTTCCTGGACACGAGTGGCTCCACCAGCCACCTCCCACCCCAGGGACTGCTCAGGGAAGGACTCCTGTCACCTTCACCCCAGCCCCTCCTGAAGTCCACCCGCCACACCCTGAGATCCCACCCCCTTCTCCCAGGCTTGAGTGGGCGCTTCAGTGATTTTTCTGTGCCCATTCTTGTTTAACGGAGCGTTTTTAGTGTTACTACCGGAGTCACACTTGAGAGCATGTTTAAAAGGCTTTTACAAGAAACTCAGACCATGCTGCAAGATCTTCCTCAGAGGCACTTCAAGGAGGCAGAACGACAACACTAACAATAGCCAAGTGCCACACCAACA